TCAAGTATGCACATTATCTGTAGGTGTATACTATAAAAGTAGTTACACAGAAATCATCTGATGTTTTCAGTAGTTACTTGACAAACTGTGTAATGATATAAAACCATTAGTGAGTACTAATGCTAATATTCACTAATGGTTTTATATCATTACACAGTTTCTCAAGTAACTAATAATCCTGTTTAATGTACAGATTCTAAAAATGTACTGTTATGTATGATCACATGGTATGTATGATGCATGATAATTTTTGCTGTATAGGTGGCGGATTCCATGTCAGCAGATAAAATGTAAACAGATAATTAGTAAGTCATTAGTATTCATCTGTTTTCTCACGAGTTTCATATTTCTAAATGTCACTTTTGTGTAAAGGAAAAGACTGTTCATGCAAAGAAAGGGTAGAAATTCTATTTCGACCGTATATGTTTTATACTTCGTCCACTTTAATAGAGGAGAACTTTGTAAATAACATTCCTTACACTGAATGAGGTTTCAAAGACTTAGGAGATGAAATAAAAAGAGCATTCCCTAAGTACCAAGTACCTTATTTTATTGTATGAAGTAGCACAGTCCTCAGGTTTCATAATACTTTCATTTATTGATGAAATGATCACACATACTATTCCTGGAATATGAATTATGTAATGTAAAACATTAGGGGAGTAATGTCTCAGGTTGTGCAAATACGTTGTGGGGGTGGGGGTGAAACACAGTGTATGTTGGTTGTTGAATACAACTGCAGCAAGGTAAGGTTCCTTGTGAGAGCCCTTGCAGTGCCCCTTGCCATCTCAGCTGTTTGGTATTGCAGCCTAACCTTCTTTTTTTCCAACAGACGCTACCCACTTTAGGAGCTTTGGTCCCTGAGGTGCGTAATGGGAGGCATCCTTGTGTGCACAAATGCTAACGGATCATGATAACGTACATTTTTCTTGCTAAAAGTGCATTTTGGGGCTGAACTATAAATCTATGCATGGTGTTCTGTGTTGTTGTTTGGAAGGCTCTGTCTCATTAACTCTTTAATTCTTATTTGGATTAGAGAAAGATAGATTCAACTGGGTAGTTATTATCTGACGGTGCTTTCTGGAGCAGTTCTGAATCCTAGAAGCTCCATCCTCTCAGTTAATGGGTAGTGATCTCAGTGTGAGAGTTCAAGGAGAGAAAAGAGGGTGGGGGATATTTAAAAATGGGTGGAAAAGATTGTTTTGGTAAGTACTGTTTTGAAAGGTATTTGCTCTGGCATATACCAAAAGAACAGAAAAGTTCACAATTCTTTGAGCCGTCAAAATGTACGATAGCTTTTAAAATGCTGTATTCAATATTTTTGTCAACCTCATGCATGTTCTCTAAACAGAGTCATTCACAGATGCATTATCCATTTTGTATGCTTCAATTAGAAAAGATATTAAATACAGAACAGTTGTTGTGTCAGCATTTCTTATGCTGAAAAATAAATGTTTGCATTTTTAAAACCATTTCTTCAGTGCATGTTAAATTTGGATTAACATTGCTAGAACTTGCAGAATATTATCCAAAGAAGGTTTTCTTAAACTGTTTTGACTTGATAAGAGAATGGCACTTGTTGGTTCCTGACAATCTTGGATATCTTAGTAATGTTACATTGTGGTTCCTGAAAGAAAGAGAGGTGATAGGAAATACTATATTAGTACTCACTTGGAAAAATAGACCTTCAAGTATAGTGTCATCAAATATCTATATTTGATTTTTTATAACACTTTAGAGAATTCCGTATCAAGAATATACATTTTCCTTTAAATTGTGTGGAGTATATGGCCTGAGTTTTGTGGTCACTGCTTAGGAGGAATTGTTTTGATCTGTAAGGCAAGCAATTGTTTTGCTTATGGGACAGGTAGTGTAAATTGCGGAAAGCACGTTGCTATTGCATCAGTCATAGAGCCAAGGCCAAATGAGGATATTTGCTGTTTTGTCTCATGCTGGAATAAAGAACAGTATCAAAAATTTTGTTTAAAGTAATTGTTACTGTATTTTGCTCAAAAATGGGTGATAACAGAAATTTTGGTTATTGTGGTAAGCATCCTTAATTTTCAACTGTATATAAATACTTTTTCTCTAAGTAAAAGAAGAATTTCGATGCCAGATGTTACAAGGTCTCTTTTGAATGGTGTTTTTAAGCTCTTAATATACCCATAATCTATATGTCAAATCTGTTCCTTTCTGTTAACTTTGAATCGTCTAGACTTTTAAAAATCCTCTCTCCTTCAGTAATTTTGGTTTTGAATTGCAGTTCTCTACTATTCATGTGTCTACACTTCTGAAATCTCATTTAATTTCTGAATATTTTGCAATATCCAGTTTTGGCCTTATAAGATTAGATAATATAAAATTCTGTTTATGGTGTTATTCTCAATTTGTATAGAGTGTGTTGACTTTTAAGAGTAGAGTTTGAAACATCAAAGCCATTCTAAATATGTAGTGAGTTATGAAATTTCCTTTATGCTGAAGCGTCATACTTTCTATCCTTAGCACTAGCCAATATCACTGTGCATTAAAGTTTGTGTTAGCTCACAAGCGTACTGTTTGGATGCTCAGAAACTAGCCAGAAACAGACTAGAAACTAGTTCTAATTTCTAAAAATAATGAAGCACGTAAACACAGAGCTGCTGAATTCTCTGACAGCATTCTCAACCTTAGGGCTGAATTTCATTACTTTAGTTGTTTCTACTGTTTTCTGTGTAAAACGATGGCATTGTAGCCTAGATACTTGGATCTTTTTGAAATGGTCAGTTATTCAAAGCTTCCAAGAACTGTGTTAACTAACTTCTTAGAAGTCTCCTTTTGTGGACTTCCTAATTTTTTTCCTGAAACATAGTTTTTTAGATTGCCTTTTATAGATAATCTTATTATAGAATTGTAGAATCAAAGGGATTAGAAAGGACCTCTGGAGTTCTAATGCAGGTTCCCTAGAGTAGGTTGCACTGGAAAGTGTCCAAATGGGTTTTGAATATCTCCAAAGAAGGAAACTCCACAACCTCTCTGGGTAGCTTGTTCCAGTGCTCTGCCACTCTCTAAATAAAGAAGCTTTTCCTCATGTTCAGTTGGTGCTTCATGTGTTCCAATTTGTGCCTGTTGCCCCTTGTTCTGTTGCTGAGCACCACTGAAAAATGGGATTGTACCCATCCTCCTGACAACTGCCTTTTAGATATTTATAAACACTGGTAAGATCCCTTGTGAGTCCTCTCTGCTTCAAGCTGAACAATCCCATGTTTCCTCATAAGGGAGGTGCTCCAGGCTCCTTATCGTCCTTGTGGCTCCCTGCTAGACTCTTTCTATAAGAGTGTAACTTAAACTGGAGAGCCAAGAACTGAACATATTACTCTTCCAGATATCACCTCCCTCAACCCTCTGACCGTACCTTTTCTTATTGTCTTTCATGGCCACAAGGACATACTCTTGGTTGATTTGCTGTCCAGCAGGGCACCCAGAACCTTCTTTGCAGAGCTCCTTTTCTAGCAGGTCAGCCCCTAATCTAAACCAGTGCTTGCAGTTATTCCTCCCCAAGCATAGGACTCTACACTTGCCCTTGTTGAACTTCGTTAGCTTTCTCTTCACTCAACACTCCACTTGCTGAATGGTCTTGCTGAATGGCTGTGCAGCCTTCTGGTGTGTCAGCTACTCCTCCATACTGGTATCATCAGCATATTGCCACAGTTCTGCAAAGTGCCTGACTACCCAAAGCAGTCAGGGGTGATTTGGGCCACTGTTTGCTTCAGGATTAGATTGAGGCTGGGTTGGTGTTCAAATTTAAGGAAACCAACAATGATAGAAAAACAGTGGTGAGAAACATCTGTGTTACGGTGATTCTAGAAAGGCATAGTGTTAAGTTAGAAACTATTCCATTCCTCCCCAGGGAGCCTGTGTCATTGCTTCTTACCAGCTTAAACTGCTAGAGAAAAAGTGGCATGGATTAATTGCTTGTGCAGTCCCTTAGGCTTTATCAGAAGTACCTCAGAGATGGTATGGAATATAAATGGTTAATGTTTAGTGAAATATTTACAGAGGACAATTGCAGGGGATGCAACAGTGTCCTTCATGTTCTTTTCCAGTGCAGTAGCTTTGTGCCAGCCCTTTCCCCTGACAATTGAAACCCTTCTCGCACTTGTGAAGTGAGGAGAGTGGCTGGAGAGCAGTCAGGATTGGTTTTACTGATTCTATTTGACAAACATCTGCTTGTCTTAATTTATGGTGCATTTTTGGACAAACTAAAAGGACATGCTGGGTGCAGTTTATAAATAGGATAAATGACATGCAAAGAGCAAGGACAATTTTTGCTTTCAGAGTTTTCTGAAGTGACCTGACAAGAGTTGCAAATGTGATGACAACAACATACGAGCTTCTAAGCGTTTCTTTTTCAAAAAACAATCTGATTGTGCTGTGTATCACCATCAGAAGTTGGCAGCTGCTTAGAATCTAGTGTAGAATCAGAACTTCAGCTGGTTTCCTTCTGAAACAAAATGCCTTTTTTAAGAAAAAGTTACTTTAAGGTTCAGCCTCTTATAGATAGACCATCAAATGATCATGGTACATTTAGAACAGGTATATTTTATTGAAAGTGGTGAAATACTCTTGAAACATCCAGCCTTTGTTAACAGTTAGAGATTGTGAGATATAACTGATCTGTTAAATTATTACATATTTTGTATGATTGGTTTTAATTTTCAGTATGTTAGCAATGTCAGATTATCTTTTCAGATTGCATTAATTTCTGTTGTGACTGCACACCTTCATCCATCTACTGTCTAGTCATTATGAAATGTCCAGGCAGATAGATATCTTATGAAGTGGAGAGTCATTGTGTAGTAGCTTGACTGAGATATCATTTTCATTAAAGTAGAATCTGACATTACTTTCTAGTCAAAAAGCATAGAGGTGTGATCTTAGCTATTGTTTTGTAGCATTGTATAATGTGTTTAAATGTTTAATTTTCTCTTTTTTCTTTTTTTTTTTTCTTTTTTTTTCTGAAGGAAAGGCAGGCAACAGTGAAAAAAGAAAAGGGTTGTCCGCAGCAAATGAACAAACTGGGAGAACGAAACAAAATGCAGAGAGCAAATTCCATCACCGTAGATGGACAAGGTCTTCAGGTGTGATTACTGTTATTTTAATTTTAAGAGAAATTAAGACAACAATAGAGTAACCAATCTTTAAAGAGAAGATTTTCCTATGCATTAGTTCTTCTAATATTTCACTCTTACATATTAAAAAAAAATAATAAGCAAAATTCTTCCATCTTTACAGTAATCCCACGCAAATACTCTGCTTCTCATATGATTGGTAGGACTTAATGAGATGGAGGGCAAACATTAGCTGTAAAGTACTTGTGCCATGAGTGAAGCTGGATTTGATGATTTTAGTGTTTGTAATTCAACAATTTTTTGAATTTATGCTATAAATCTATTACTTGGTTAGTGTTGATTCATCCTGTTTTCACTTTTTAACTGAAAGATGGATGGATTAAATTTCAAAGATGTTATTTCTCCAGGTATTGCCAAGGAGAGGATTTGGTACGCCAAAATTCAGGGTGGAGAAAGGCAAAGTGGGTTTCAGTAGTAGCAATGCTACTGTAGGGTAAAGTCAGTGTTCATGTATGTGATGATTCTTCTTGAGTTAAATGATTACTATGATAACTATGTGATAATCGTTTACTAAACATAGTAGACTGTTCTCTCTTCCTTTTGATGTGCTACAACTGAGCTTCAGTAAAAATGATTCTGTTATCATAGATCAAACACTGAATGCTTTATAATTATTTCATAATGTATACCATTTCGCCTGTATAGAAAGACATAATATTTCCTCTTTTTAGGTTAGTGAAACATTCTCTTTATGACGACTCAGAGGGAAAAAAGAAAGAAGGGTAAAACTTATTCAGCCTCACGATGCTAGTAGATGACCTAGCATTATACTACTACGGTGGTCATTATCCATGGCTCTCAGCTCTGTCGTCATGTACTTGCCATCCTCGTAGGCTGCATTACTCTTCAGATCATTTGAGACAGACAGAGCATAAAGCAAAAGGGGTAGAGTATTTGCTGATGGAGTAATCAAGCTCTGTCAAACACAGTGTAAATAGTAGTTTTAATAGAATGGTACTGGAAGTTGGAAAACTCTATGTTTTCTAAGTATGCTTCCAGTGAGCACAAAAGCTCTAGGTTGAAGAGTATCTTTGAAATGTCCTTTTGGTAGCAATGTATCATCATGATTTTTGGTTTTACTTCTAGTGTTAGAGTGCTTGTGCTCATAGCTTGTTGTCTGCAATCATTCAAGTCGGTATTTCACACTCCTGTGACACAGTGCCTGATAGGTTCAAAACAGTAATCTCTTAGCACCACTCTTGCATATGCAACATTCTTAAATTATTAAAATCCTCTTTTAGATAATTATGGCATTAGATTTTCTGTAATTTTGTTATTGTGAGCCAAAACTTATCTCTTTCCAGTATGAGTCCAAAACTTGGAATTTGTAATTGCACTTATTATTGTTTACAAAGTATCGTATTACACTGATAGCATTAGAGATAATTCTGCAATGATGTATTTAATTTTTTGATCTTCATATAGTCACTGTTTCTCTCTGTTAAATAAAATTGAAGTAATAAGAATCCATCTTTGCACAAACAATTACAAGGCCTGCTCTGGAAGTAATGCCTCCTAGTTTGTTATGTCGGCCCAAATTGTCAGAGGCAGGTATTGGTGGAATGGCTGTAGAAGTTGAACCTTTCTGCCAGCATTCCCTTAAATTTTGTTGGCATGTGGCCGATGGCAGCGGTGTGGCAGTCTGACAGAATGGCATCTGACATGGAAGTGCAGATGAAGCAAAGATGTGAAACTGAATTCCTTCACGCACAAATAATGGCACCCACTGCTACGTCGACACTTACTGAACATCTGTAGAGACCAAAGAGTGGATGAGAGCACAGTGAAGTGGTGAGCAACGTGTTTCAGTAGTGTCAACAGCATCATAAATGACAAGCATGTTCTGGACAGCCATGCACATTTGTCTCTCAGTGAAATGGAGAGCAACTTGATAAACTCATCTGCACAATTCAGTGGATTACAACTATGAACGTGTATGTGTAGCTGAGTATCATCTTCAGTGCACTGGAAATGGTGGCAACGTTGGAATATTACAGTTTATGCCAGGTTGGCCCCACAGATTCTCACACAGGAACAGAAAGAACACCATATACAAGTTTGTCAGGTCCTGTTGAACCAATTCAAGATTGAATGTGACAGTTTCCTGAACTGCATCATTACCAGTGACAACATGTGATGAAAATGCATAGCTAATAATGGTGACTGTTGAAAAAAAATAGTGTTTTGAAGCTGAGAATTTGCTCTATCAAATAGTGTCAATGTGCTTTTTGCATCTGTTATAGTTTCCATTGAAACAAATAGGAAGCATTACTTTCAGAGCAATCTTCATAAATTTTTTTTATTGGTAACAGTGATCATAAGCCTGGTCATTGTGAAAGATAAATGGACTCCAAAGGATACCATCATGAAAGACAGATCTGTGGGACTGTTGAAGTTATGGTGTTTTTTTTTTTCACTCACAGATTGTATAACTTTGAAATGTTTTCCACAGTCAAAATAGAACTAAGTAGGCTTGTTCTCAAAAACATTAAGTCACTTGTCCAGTTACTGCACAGAAGTTGCCTTTATATCCTTCTAGACTAAGGCCTAAAAATGTTCACCTTTTCAGTCTAAAACTTTTAATTGCATTACGTAAAAATCTATATTATTTAGAAAATCTATAAAACAATAATTGGAAGACATTATTTTAGAATTGAGTGGAACACAAACTACTTGTTCAGTTATTGTTTTTTGATGATCTTAAACTTACCTGCAATAGTAAAGTTCTGAAATAAAGTATTTTTATTTTATATATGATCAAATCTAAGTTTTTGTTGAGAAAAGTATCATGACCAATCTTTCCTTCCATCAGACAGCTGTGTGCAGATAACTTAGTGACAGTGGAGATCTGCACAACTTAAAGACAATTAATCATAGTTAAGCACATTCATCTTGCTTCTTTCCAGCTAACCAGCATAATGATCAGGATTATTATTTCTAATTAGAGGAAGTAATAGATCATGTATAACCTTAGGATGAGTCTCATTAATTAACCTGCATCCTAAGGGATTTCAGTAGGTAGTTCATCTCTGTCACAATGAACACCATTGGTTTACACGTAGTTCACAGGGACAAACATCATGGGAATTGGCTAAATAACTAAAATTGATTAAAACAGTAGATAAAAATTAAATATATGACAAACTTCACTATATCCTGTAATTTGATATATGTTTCAACATGCACCACTGTACTGAAATAATCTACAGTGACAGAATCTGATCTGGGGTTAGTTTTGTACTTGGTTTAATTCTGAAGTTTGCTGGAGCTTTTCCTTATTATGTGCTAAATACTGGATCAGAATTTGATCAATTGTTTATGAAGTTATGGATGGAACTGACACTGTACTGCTGAACACATGCTACTGAAGGAAGAGTGCTTTCAGATGTCTGTTTGACTATGTGCCTGTGTTTACAGGATACCTGTAAGACATGTTATGTTCCTTGGTTCTGTCCTAAATTAAATTATGTGGAACATTCAAATGAAAAGATTTTGTTGTTTCAGCAGTTGTGATTAATGATTTTAAGCAAGAACTTTACGTACGTTATTTTGAAACAGTAAGCCTAAGCTTTATCATCTCTGTAGCTGATAAGTAGTGTATGACTTCAGAGATGTTGGCTTTAAACTCTTAATATTTTTTTAAACATTCTAGACTTATGTAAGCCTTTTACATTTTTTTTTATACATAGAGCAATGACAGTGAACACTTCGGTTTTATACCATCTGATATTATTATTATTACTTCGAAGGAAGAAGTTAGTTTGTAAGCCATAGTTTGTCCTTCTTTTGTGTTTTCTTCTTTCCTTTAAAATTTCAAGCTTTCTAAATTGTTCAGAGGAGCTGGTTATTATTCTGTTTGTAACATTTTTAAAGCATATGAATTCATATCATATCAAATATTGCAATTTTCTGTCATTTATTAAAAATTAAAAAACAGCTACATGGAGTTTAAGATTTCATCCTTTATTTCGCCTTTATAGTACAGTGTCATTTCCTCTTCTCACTGCAAAATGCAGTTTCTTCATAGCTTTTTTTCCATAGGAAATCATTATTTTGTCAGAATCAATCATGTATTTCTTAGATTTGAAGTTTTCTTCTCTATTGAGAAGATATTGACAGATATAACCTACATATAGCAGTATTGTTTCCAATGGAATTACAGGTTAAAATGACATCACAGTTGTATTATGGACACCTAGCATTAAACACGTGTGTGTGTATACATGCATTTAATTGTATTAGTATGTATTACTTTGCCACAAATTACGAGTTTTATATATATATGTATATAAATTAAGTATTACTGTAAATTGTAGAATTGCTGCCAGCTAGGTTACAGAACTTAACATAGTTTGCATTAAGCCTTTTGCTTTCTGTCTGCTGTAAGAAAAAAAGAGTGCAACACAGCATTAATGAGCAGCTGTGTTATTCTCTCCTTTTAGATCACTCCAGTTCCAGGCACTCATCCACTTTTAGTTTTTGTCAATCCTAAAAGTGGTGGAAAACAAGGAGAAAGGTAAGACTTGCTCTCTCTCTCTCTCTCTCTCTTACATTTTCTCTCCCTTCTAATTTCTGTAATATATTTTAAAATGATTTTTAAGGCTTCATATATGAAAAGTCCAAAATTTCAGTATTTTTTATAATGGTGTGCTTCAAGTTTTGACATACCGTTGCCCTGTTTAGAAGAGGTACACACCAGCATACAGTTAGAAATCCTGCAGTTAAAAACTAGAACAAGCTCTAGGTTTAATTTAACATCAGAAGGAGAACTTATATTCCCTGTATGATTTTGTGTGATTTGCATGCAGACGTGTTGTTACATTTTGACTTTTATATTGTAACTTCTAAATTAGAATGTTTTTATTTTGGTGTCATTGCTGTAATTTATTGTTTAAGTCTTGAAAATGTTAGTCATCTAGCCAAGATCAAGCTGAAGATGATACATAGGTACTGGATTATGTGAATACCAAAAAGGAGGGATTCAGTGTGTTTCTAAAGCTTTGAACAATTGAGCACTTGAGTCAACTTTCCCTACCAATTTAATGCTGATTCCTTTAGACCGCTTCTTTGAAACACTGTTTCTTAAAAAGCCATCCAACAAAGGGGGGTTAAGAATTGTTGTAAGGACAATGATGATGTAGTGTTGTAAGCTGATGCTCATCTAACCAAAACTGCACTCAAAGTCCTCTGAAAGAAGATACTAGAATCTAGAAGCTGGATATTTGTTCCCTGTACTGATATACCTGAATATCAGCAATGTCAACAGTGCCACTTATGTTGAAGATGGTTAATCCAAAAGGTTCACCGTACCTACTTCTGCAATCATAAGAATATGCTACAAACCAACAGTTGACCATAAAACATTCTTTTTTCAAACATAGCATTTGGTGGTCCTGATGGGCAATCAGGAGCATTGTAGGGGTGATGCAGTAGCATGCAGTTTGCCTTTTTTAGAGTCCAGATAGAAAGTGAGTAGATCAGAGATCCAGTCTGGAAGAATATAAATAAGAAGTACATTTGAGAGCCATACTTATTTAGTCATAACCTAGGCACAAATTAGTTAAATACTGTTTCACAGCTTTCAGTCCCCAGCTCAGAATTGGTCTCAAGTTCACTATCTGAATGAAGTTGATACACACGAGGCACGTCATGAAATATTAGATATTCTCTGGCATAAAAGCAAATTTGAAACATTTTCTCCGGTTAGAGCTCCCGTTTCCATTCATAAATTGCAGTCTGACACTCTCCAGTTTATTTTGATGCAATTGTTACTGGTGCCAAACTGATCAAAGAGGTTATTTGAATTTAAAAAAAATGAATCCCACTTTATTCACTAACACTGTTACCTTAAAGTGGTATTACACACTGAAGTATATAGCAGTGGGATATCAGTAGGAGTAGAGGATAGGTTGTAACAAAAACACAGTTTCCAAAACAGGCTGGGAGGTGATGGGGGAATGGGGGAAAAAAAAACACCAAAAAAACCCTCCACTGATTTTTGTGGATGAGAATTTCATTATCTTGATTCATTGAAATCAAAGTGGCTTTTTTGAGAACTGTTTCCCAGTCTTTAGGATTTTCTCTATTTGAGAGATCATGATGAATTGAGTTATGATTTCTAATTGACTTTCATCGAACACAGAAAGGTTACTGCAGATACTGTCAAGGCTCCAGTGTTCCCACAGTTCCCTGTATGAGATTTTATGCCTTGCCATATGGTAACCCAACCCATTTCATTGCCCTTAGACTTACAGAGATTGCGTTCGTCCATCCAATAACCAGTTGAATAAATGTACTCCCCTAAACAGTACTCTTGCCTTTTCCTTTTGTATATTTTTTTCCCTCTTGCCCCTAAAAAAAATAAATAAATAAAAAATCTCTAAAGCACAAAGGAAGGGACTGAAGATTGCTCTAAAGAAACAAAGCTAAATGCTTTTGTTATGGTTTTTCAGTGTTGAAAAAGAGGTGTGGTGAGAAAGGAACATGTGGAAGGAATGTATTCAGACACCAGAGCTACTTTGTCAACAATCATACAGATTACCTTATTGATGTGTTTCAAAGCTTGAATTGTTAGAAAACCAGTTTTGCAGAAGGTATAGTGATAAATATCATGTCCTTTATCTAGGTTTCTCTTTTAAAAACTAATAGCATTATTTTCAGATATAACTGAAAAAAAAAAAAAAATAGAATGCTATGAAAATAATCCAGTTGTATATTCTTATAAATAGATTAATATTATTGCCCATCACCTGAAATATAACTGAATTTAAACAAGTTTATTTTGGACTTTATCAGTTTAGTACAGTGTATAATCCATATGTATGTGATAAATTAGAACTGAAGTGTAATTTAATGTTTATTAAGGAGAAAATTGCAAATTGGAATTAAAGTTGATGAGCTTAAAACTTTCACATACCACAAATAGATTTCAATTAAAAATGAAGTTGGATAGGAGTTCAGCAAAGCCAGTCAGATATCTTTCTCAGGACAAATCACATCATAGCTTGTTTTCAGTGAATGCACATTTCTGAATGAACATTTCTTGCTTCATTTAGTCCGGAAAAAAAAAAAAAAAAAAAAGAGTACATTCATTTCACCCCATAGCTAACATTCCTGTTTTCCTGAGTTTAAGATCTAACAAATTAAGATGGTAGCTTTCAGTAATCAGTGAATACAGAGAATGCACTTAGTACCTCATGGACAGAATAGTTGATTTCAACAGAAAGAATATACAACTGGCTATGTAAGAATATCCAGCTAGTTATGGGCTGTAGTGTTTCTAAACACTGCTATTGTTAAGGGTAATGCTTCTCCAATAAGATAGCTAGAATCTAAATCATGCTGTTGTTTTGCCATACTCATTACTTTATTTTCCCCTTCCCCATTTTCCAATTTATTTGCCTGACCAGCAGGTGAGTTTAAACAATTGTTTCCTTGACAAATGTGCGGTTGGATGCACTGGAGATCAGCTTCCGTACACTGACGTTTCCTGCTGACTCTACGTTCAGTGTCTTTGCAGTACAGGTGGATGTTATCTTTGACCTTTGTTGTTTTCTAATAACTTTTATTCAGAGTATTTCTTCCCTCTAGCCTGTGATTAGTTTGGATTTCTAATCTTTCATTTAGCATTGAGACAGTATTTCAACAGAATCATTTTCTGTTGGTCCTTCCGAAATGTTTTATATGTGGGAGAAATTGCCCATATTCTTTTATTTTCAAGGTGGAGGCCTTGGCTTCTTTGCTCTCTTTCTGAAATGTTGCATTTCCCGGATGGCACAGAGCTCTGCTGTGGCCAGGTTTTTCTCCAATGCAGTCAACTTTACTGCAGTTCTGAATTGCTAAGTTACCGGTTTCTGTCCATTTCTTTTGTCTCTAAAGGAATGATCTTATTATTTTAGGAGGCTCAGTCTAACTCAGCCCAAGCAGTCAGAAGAAGTTTCTTCAGCAGCAAAGCTATTCTTGAGTGATCCCATCCCTCTTGGCCACTCCTGCTTTAATTTTTTACCACCTCAGCTATGCTAATACAACTGCTGTAGGATTCATAAGAAATTTGGGCCTGATTTAATGAGATACAGGAGGAGGGAGTGGAGGGGCAGGGGAGGAAATGACAGCAAAGAAATTTTACTTAGGATTTGAATTTTGGCTTGAATTTATTAATTAATACAGAATAACCCTATGAACAGTTACAGAAATAGACCTGTTTGTTGAATTATCATGGGTTCAGAACAACCTGGAGGCCATAGTGGCCAGTGTCCATTTAATAAGCCATCTGATATTGCCATCTCAAAATGCTGTGTTGTAGCGTTACCCAATTTGCTGTCTCATGGCTCTGTCTGAGCAAATCTTCAGTCACAAGATAACCATGTCCGGTTCCTTCCTTAAATACAGAGGCAACATGTCTACAGACAAGTCAGTATAAGTAGGTTTTTCAGTACTGCACACATAAAACTGGAAGACTAAATCATTGTCCATTTACCAGTCTTCAATGTGTCACGCTGTCAGATCTAGTTACATTTTAGTACAAAGGCAAATTTTTATAGTTTCTTCTTCTTTGGTGTCACTGAAATGAATAATCAAGTTATGAATTTTATGCAGACTAGTATACTTAAATGTGTTATAACTTAGAGCACGATGTGTCGTTTGCAGTGAGTCATTAAAGAGTGATTATCTGGTATTGATGTTCACTTAGGACCTGTGGAAGGCATACAATGATTCAAAAATAATTAAATCTAATAACTTTACCACTTCAGGTGGACTTCCAGGTTTTGGTTAGAGGTACCTTGCTCCTTCTGTATTAGGAAGGCTGTTGTAGCATTTCTCTGATACCTTACATAACAGTACTGTAAGCTTAGGTTGTGGCTACTATGTTATATAGCACTTAACCTTTAGGCAAATAACAACCCTTTAGAACTTCCTAACTATCCTATTTAAGAACTCCTTGTCAGTTGCAGAGGTTAAATTAAATTTGACCAATTAATTCCTGTATCGTGGAAAAGCAACTCACACATGCTAACAAAAAAATTTAAAAAGGGATCTTTTTATGTCAGTAAGATACTTCATACGGATTGAAAGTGTACTGTCTTGTAAATCCACAGTTGAACATCTGATTTAGTTGTCATCACAACATTTGATAATAGTGTGCATGCTGGCAATTGAAACCAGTCATTTCACATTGATTTCTTCTGTCATCAGCGGCATCAGGAATAAACTGTATTCAGTGTGTTTGGACATAATGCTTTATGAAGAAGCTGATATACTAAATAATTGAGAAATTAAGAAAATGTTCAAATTTGGAGTTTTATATGTAGTTATGAATTTGCTTGTATTCAGTATTGTAACATCCTTTTCTTCCACCTAACCTGATAAATTGTGCATTTCTTCAGTATACGTATATATGTAGTCCCTCAATCCCTAGACACATAGATTGTGTCTAGACAGTTTTGTTGTCTTGAATTTCAAACTGTGTTGTCATTTTTAAATAAATTCAGCTCCTGTTATCCTTCTGTTTTACTTAGGTCAGTAGAAAGAAAGGGAGATATCTTCCAATGGGGAGGGAAAAAAAGTTTTTTTAAAAAAGCATCAGGATATTAAGTAGCTTGGAAAACATAAGCATTAAAATTAAAAGCAGATAAATGAGTTAATAATTCAAACCATTGTCATAGATCCCAGATATCATTCTTTCAGGTATTCATTCTTTCTGAGCTCAAACTCATGTGCTTCTTTATAAGAAACCATGGAGGTACAACACTGTTATCAGTGAAGGAAATTACATTTCTAGTCTTTGTACTGAAGAATGAAAATATTTGTCTTACTTTTAGGACACATAACCTCAAATTTGTAAAGTTACAGTTTTTGAAATATTTTTTGAAATAAATTTTGAAATATTTTTGAAATAGGGAGGTTTTTTATGGGATAGGACAATGTTTTAACTTCTGTATCATTTCTCTCCTATTATTCAGATAATTTTTAATTAGGCATACTTCAATTAAATTTACTTTATTTAAACTTAAACAACAGTTTTACACCTTTTTCATTTTCTTCCCATTTGAATATAATCTGAAAGAGATGTGGAGTTCTCACTAACTGAATCCAACTCTAGTTGACAATAGATTTGCTTTCTCAGGATGTTTTTCAAGCTACAGAGATGTTTTTGGTGGGTTACAGAACCAATTTGTAATTCTACAATTAGAATCTAATTTTGTGTTAATCTCAGGGATAAATCTCTCCTTTTCTGTGAAGCTATTTTAATAATAAACTAAGTGCTCTTCCCAATGCTCTGCTTATTCACCTTTTCTTGTCATCCTACCCCCTTGTCCTATTTTACTTCTGTCTGGGTATACAGCATTTGTATTTGTATCGTAAATAGTTTATAGCATTTAATTTTATCCCTATAACTGTGGGGATTGTGTTCAAATTTATCATTTTATTTCACTGTGTATAAATAAGACCCCGAAATTCAAACCCTGCATTCAACTTCTTTGGTCCTTTGGTTAGTTTAAAAACCAAACAAACCCCACAAAACAAGCAAACAAGCAAAAACCAAAAAAAAAAAAAACAAAAAAAAACCGTGTAAGTAATTTTCTTTTTCTATCTCTTTGACTTCTTTAGAATTTATAGAAAATTTCAGTACCTTTTAAATCCTCGTCAAGTTTATAGTCTTGCTGGAAATGGACCAATGCCAGGGTAAGTCTACAGTTAATATTATTACCAGGAACTCATTTAATGAAATGCAACATAATCAAATAAACAGACTGAGGCACATAGAGCATGCTTGGAATGTATCAGCACTACAGACCTCTGAATGGCTGCAGAAATTTACAGGTATTATTTATTTACATGTACAAATAGAACTGTGTATCATGTGTTTTACTGATAAACGTGCAGTACACTGTAAGAACTGTAGTAAATGTCATTTTCTTTGAAGTTTCTACTGCTATTTTAGCAACCTGGCTTATCTGCAGTTTTCTTTTACATCAAAACATTTGTGCATACGCATAAGTTTCTGTGTGATACGTAGGGTATGAATATATGTATACATATGTATACATATGCTTATTCTTTTGCATGTCAGATATGGAATGTTGCTTCAGATTACCTTGGCTGAGCTTTCCTCATTCAGTCAATAATATTTGGGATGTAGAGGTACAAAAAATGACTAGAATACTTAGATTATGTTGGCAGTGACATTTTATGGGGGCTCAGCTTGGGTGAGTTTCGGAGATTCATTGTTAACTGAATCAGTGTTGCAGTCAGTCAGCTAACATGCCTCTTCCATGACTCTTCAATTTTGTAATAATGTGCGTGGAGGATATTGACAATATATCAAATGCCAACTTTTGCTACTTGAAATTGTCACCTTTTAAAGTAGCATATACCTTGATAGAAGAAAACAGGACAGCACTGATCATCTCATCAAAATAGCTTTGTGTGTATGAGTGCAGTGTTATTTAGTTACATCATTGATAAATGAAATTTCACATCGAGAAAAGTTATTATATTAGTCAAGAAAGACATTAGGAGATGTGTTCAATATGAGGTTTATGCTGTTGTTTATGTATAGTGAGTATCTAGTTTTTCCTTTTTTATTTTTTGAATCTTTGGGTTTTAGTTTTGTTTTTTAATTGAAGGAAGTAAAGGGTGGCAGTGGAAATGCACGTTTTGTGCCTTGCAGTGTTGCATTTCTGTTGTCATTGGTGTATTACTGAAAATAATAGACTAACAATTTCTGTCAGCGCTGCTTATTTTAAAGCTAAATACACAGGAAATTATTCTCTATTAAAACCATCCTATATTAACTGTCCATTCATGTGTTATGTTAGACTTAAAATGTGTTGATGAAAGTGAAAAGCGCTACAACCTTGTTTGAAGTCAGAATTCTCAGTGTACATTGTGCTACAGTGTGGCTAGTGTACAACCTGCAAAATGTTACAAAATCTGCTCAGAAAACAGAAATAATGAGTCGCCTGATTTCTTCCATGTCTCTAATTTTATCTTGTACAGAATGTTACTTCTGTTTGTTTATTCAGACATTATTTGTGTCTTGTTACACTCATCTTGAAGCATATGGAAATTTTAAGTGATACAAAAAGTAAGCAGACTTGAAAAAAATACAGAAAGTTATTTCAGGAATTTATAAAAAATTTTGTCTGATGCAAAAATAGTAACTGATACTGTTTTACAAAGAGCATAATAGAAATGTCATGCTAAGAGATTAAGAGAGCAACTTTTAAAATAAACGAAATACTTGATTTCAAATTAATCTGAGTTCATCAAAACTTAAACAAACAAACAAAACCACCCACCAATTATTGGCTGCATTTCAGGCTATAACTGTTCTTTGGTTTTCATTATCTTGTGATAAAAGAAAATGTATTTTGAAGAAGAAGCACAAGAGGGCAGTGTTAAGTTCAGACCTGTACTGAAAGCAATTTGAGCTCTAAACTTTTGAACTAGAACAGTGGTTTTAGGAAATATTTTCAATTTCTCTTCATATTAGGAATCTAAACAGTTTTACTTCAGAGTCACTTTGAGGCAATTTCTAATTAATTTGCAAACTGAGATTTCATTTTATTAAAGCTGTTTTAGTATGTATTTTTTTTAATTCATTACACAGAAGTAAATAATCCTAAATTTCCAGTTCATTTCTTACCATCACTTCTTGCCTCTGGCAATACTATGTACTCTGTATGTAATTTGTCCATTAAAGCATGCAGTTGAATACACTGTGTATTTAATTTGCCAGTGTTTGTTTCCCTTTCTGTGGGGGCTGGATTGCCTAGTAAAGTCTGCCTGTACATTCATCTGTCCACTCACTCATCAGTCTCTACAATGCCAGATATGCTCAACTGTCAGTCAAAATGTTACATTTATTTAGTATTGTCATTTGCATGGAACAGAGAGGGAAACAGAGAGAGGGGGTTGCACAACATGGAGATAAATGAAAGTGTATTCCTTATGCCAATTACTATTACAGAATGGAAAGGAATAAATGTGAATTTCTTTTAATGCATTTATGATTATTGAAATAAATTTTGTGTTCATTTTTTTTTTTTTCTTTTGAACACTGCTTTCAAACATGTATACTCAACCTATAAAATTTTTATATGATTAGGGTAGAATTTACGTGTTTTCTGCTTGTTTTAACCCACAAATTAGTTATTTAGGAGGCTGTCTTTCTAATGATATACTGTCAATGACTGAGAATAGCATTTGTAAGTTTTCTGTCTTGAGTTCTAAACATCTGTGGTTACTCCGAGTTAATAATTACGGTTCCCTTTAGTTGAAAATGTAGATAGTGGAGAAAAACTAGAGGAACTGGGTAACCTGTAAAAATCCTAAATGTTAGGGTACTGTGAAACTACAGTGTTTTTTGAAAATGTCAATGACTCAGTAATTCTAGGTCATTTGTTATTCCTCTCTAATGGGGAACGGCCATGCTCTCTCATGGCATTGTGTTGGAATAACAGATTCCTTTGCACAATGCAGCTGGAACAGGGTTAAAAAAAAAAAAAAAAAAAAAAAAAAAAACAGTCTTTGCCCAAAGAAAGAAGGGCCACTAGTGGAGTCCCATGTTTAAATTTCTTTGAAAACTGGAATTAGTACTTTCCACTTTCCCTTTCAATATTAATCATTAAAAATTAAAATAAATACTAAATGAATGTTTTGGAACATCAGAACTTGTGCATTTTCCAGTAGATGTGCTGATGGGTAGCGGGTCAGCAGGAAAATGTTTTGAACAAGCTGACAGGAAATTTAGTATTGCCGTCTGAATGTCCAATTACTGAAGTGGATATGTCACCTAGTTTCATAATAGATATGGTGATACTTGGAGAACTGCAGGGACAGCAGCAAAGACACTTCTTTTGGCTGCTTAACATATTTAAGCTAAGGTTTCCAGTGCTCTTTGTGTCAAGACTCGTATACATAATCTATATAAAAATATGGCCATGATGCAAATAAATCACAATGGAGCTGACTTTCTGGCATTGATTCTTTCACAACAATAAAAGTTAACCTGTTGCCGTGCCCGAAAACTGAGGAGCTCTCAGCCAAAAGGCAGCAATATATATTAAACATTGATGTCATAATTAATGGTTTAGACATTCTTTGTTTGGGAGCAGAGATTCGAGTGAGCTGGAGAAACCCTGTAAACTCGACAGCTGAAGACAGACATAAAAGATACTCCACAGTTACAGACTGCCACAGTTAACAAAGTGACATGAAAATTGCCAGGCTGATACATTGTGTAATTTGTGCCTAGCACCTGTGTTTTTAGCCTTGAAAAGAGTTTCCCTGTTTGGTTGTTACATCTCTATAGGAGCCTTCTACTTCTGACAACAACTGTTATTGTGTATTTAATGATCTTCAAGAATCTGAAATTCGGTTATTGTTCACCTCTCAGAGAGGTAAATAATAGCTGGATGAATAGCAGCCAGCCACAGAGCCACATGGCTCTGTTGAGAGGTCACCATTTCCCAAAGGCTTTGTCCCTCTGAAAAGGTTCCTGTTCCCTTAAGTCTATTATTTAAAATGTCTAATTTATGTTATTTTTATACACTATAATAGAAATTATATCCACTAAAGTTGTATTTCTTTGTAAGTCCCTTAACCATTTAATTTGGAGAGCATGTCTTTTTTGAATTCTATCCACAAGTTTACATCAGCCAGCCCTTTTAAACCGTAAGTTCTGTCAGCTTAAAAGATGCCCAGGATAGCCAAACTGAATTCCTACAGCTTGCTGTGTAATTTAGCTGGGAATCTACAGCACCTGGGCCTTTGTAACTTCACAAAGCAATAGGCCTATTTTGAAAATTACACTATTTTCCCTGATTATTGGAATTGATTGCTAGAGTATTTCTTTGCTGTTTGAACACTGGGAATTTACAGAGTATTGTGAGAAGACATATACACCAATAATACTTTGAGGAGATAATAATTGCATAGTTATTTTTTCCTGAAGAAAACCTTGGACTTGATCCATATTTCTTTGAAAGAGAACTATATATATATATATACGCTTTTTGTTGTTGTTGTTTTCCAAAAGACAGAGCAAGCCAGTGTGGTTTAGTTGTTGTCTACAGTTAAGTTATGATTGTACTGTAAATAAATCAGTAGAACTCTGTGAGTCTTAACATGTGAAACTTACTCTTTGGCTTTATCTAAGTGTATTTTTACCTGTAAAAGGGATGTCTGCAATATGCATAGCACAATCTTCAAATATTGTGAATATCAACAGTTTCTAGACTACACTGCTAAAGTTATGGTCCAGAATAATTCATCCCTCTCTTATCCATTGTAGTTTTTCAGTGGTGAATCTACCACAACCTGTTATCTGAAATCTATTTAAAAAGGCTTTGCTTCATCTTTAGCCTCCTTACTATATAGGTTGCTAGAAAAGTAATGCCTCCTATTTATTTCCATGGAAACCACAGCAGTTACAAGGAGCACAGTAACACTATTTGAAAGAAGAAATTCTCAGTTACAAAACTCTATTTTTCAACATAGGGACCGCTGTTTGTTATGCATTTTTACCAGGATTAAACAAGAATCTGCATGCCACACTTACAAAAAAAATGCAGCAGTGAAGGTGACCCACTGTTGCTACTGCCGAAATATGCCACCCACCACCTCATTGTGCTTACATCCACTGTTTGGTCTCCATAAACATGGAGGATGGGTGCAAATTTTTATACATGGAAGAATTCATTCCACACCTTTGCTTCATACGCACTTCCATGTAAGATGGCATTCTGTCTTCTCTGCAGCCGTCTGCACACAGCAACAAAATGTGAGGAAATATTGATGGGAAGGTTTAATCTCTACTGCCATTCTACCAACATCTGCCTCTGACATGGTAGGCCAGCATAATAAAATAGAAGGCATTATTTTTGGAGTATCCCTCATAGTTTGCTGTCCAACCTTTGCCTTCTTGAAGTGGTTCCCTCTTCTCAGTCATTTCAAACTAAGCTTTTGAATACCGCTATTAAGTACTTTCTGAAATTCACTGTACTTACACCATCCAGCATCTTTACTCCACCTCCACCTAATATACCCAGCATACATTAATTCTCCTTTCCCTTCTCTCAAACTACTGAGGCTGCTATGCATTTTGTGGGTATTGTACAGGTAAAGAAAATTTCAGTCTTGCAAAGAGCGTAAGTTCGACAATGTCATTACTGTTCAGTATCTGTATCTGAATAATTTGTGCTCTCTATGGACTGTATTGCTACATTATGAAAATATTCTGGTATGCATCTTGAGCAACAGGGCAAAACATATTCATGCTATTTTTGAGTTCAAGGTATGAGTTGATGTCTTCAATGTCTAGTACCTGACATAAGTCATTAAATTACTTTTCTGGTAAAATTTCCTCTATAATCAGAAAGTTTCTCAATGATCACATGTGATCATATATTGCTCGATAGGGATATATGTATACATATATGTACATGTGATGTATGTATGATGTGTGTGTGTGTGTGTATACATATATATATTCTATATATTCCATTATCCTTAGCAAGATAACCATTTGAAATTGCCAGCAACCTTTATCTTAGGAATTCATTAGCTGAAAACAAGGTTTTCAGCTATGAAATGCCTATATGGCATTTAACTTTTATGTACATTGAAATGTCATTCCTGGAGAGAAATATTTGGCCCCGTATTATGACAACCTGGATTCACTGGCACTTTTTCTTTTTTTTTTTCTTTTTTTTTTTTTTTCAGTGATTTACTACAATTATTGTGTCATGAATAATGTCAGCATAATGTACACAACACTGTCAGTGAGCATTGTAATGAGGATAAAGTGTGTGGTGTTGTCCAGTTACATGGCTAGCTCAACTTGTCAGTCTACAAAAGGAAAAACTGTGTTAAGCTTTCATTCGTATAGTCAAGTAAATAACCATTTGTCAGGGATTGCGTTTGTTTTGTTTGGTAAAATGGCAGCAAGTGGTCAGTGCAATAAAGGAGTAAACATTGCAACAACGTAATTGCTTTGCCTTTCAACTTGTTGCTTTCATCTGGAAATTGGTAGATTAAACCCAACATTGTGAATTCACAAATGGACAAAGTTTCCTAGTTACAGGCTTCATCTGGGAGTATGAGATGTCTAACAAATTAGTCTAAATTCATTTGCAAAGGTTTAGCAGACTAATTTGCTTTGAGCTAGTGGTGTTTGGGGTGGATGTTCACCTTTCACTTCCATTCATACACAGTGTAATTTCTCTTCCAGTACTAGCTCACTCATAATTACCATACCATACTGATGGTAAAGTTATAGATATATTCATTCAAGAAAATTTTAATAATAGGACTTGGATTTATGCCACATCTTAAGAAAAAATATTTACAAGTTTAAAGTTTTATGTATTTATTGATTGAATATTATGTTATTGTCTCAAAACCTTTGAAGCCAATGTGAATGGGACAGGAGTTACTAAAAATGAAAAGTAATCTATATCACTTAAATACAAAATTCTGATGTAGAGATGTTTGATGTTGCTGTTTGTTTTGTAAGTCTGAAACAACTGAACTGGAGTAGTTAGTTAGTTAGTTAGTTAGTTGAAACAGTTGCCATTGTCCAGGTGGAAAACAGCAGAAACTGAATAATTGTCTCTTCCCAAGATCCTTGTATCTGGCAAAATAAAATTATTGGCTGTTGTCAATCAGTTTGTTTGTTTTACTTCCAGAAGATGAGAAACTTGCTTAGATTTAAGCAGGTCAACTTTCAAGGGATCTTCTAACATGAAAATACTAATTTAATTCTAGGTTTTTTATCTACATGTTTTTGGAACATGTAAAATGGTGAAGTATTGTAAAAAAAAAATAGGAGGCAGCAGATAACGGTACAAGAATTTCACCATCAGAAAGGAATTAGATGCTCTTGTTAATTTTGATGATAGAAAACCACATGTAATCACATGTCTCCCATAAACAAAATCTGGGGATTGTTTATATCCATTCAGTTGAACAGGAATGATATCCTCAAACAATTTTCCTAGCAAATGTGATGCTATTCTAAGGCCTTAGAATGCAACCATTCATTTGTTTTCTTTCTGTATTTCATTATATTTGTCTTTTTATCTTTTATTCTTTAATATATCAGAAGTGTCGTGTTCTGTAGTAGATGTCAGTAGAAGTTCTGCTCGTCCTTCTTGCTACTTGTTTGCAAGAGATTGAAGAGTAGGTGTTACTTGGCTTACAGTCTGTTTCAGCACAATGTTCCTGTGTACCTTTCTAGTGCTGCTATTTGCCATTGTTTGACTGTTTGAATTGCTGATTTAGGAAAGCTATTCACTATAGTATCTATAAAAATCAACTCTATATAAAATAACGTCTAAATATAAAAAAAATTAAAAAAAAAAAATTTCTTGTAATGTAGGGATAAAAATTTTGGTAAAACAGACCTTTTGCAAACTAGTTTTATCAGTAAAGACTGAAGCAAGGAGGATGTTCAGTAACTGCCTCCTTAGTGTCCTCTGTTGCCAGTGGGCCCACATTTTCCTCAGACTTGCTTTTGCTATTGATGTACATAAAGAAGCCCGTCTTGTTTATGTGGCAGTATGCTTTTATAATCTGTTTATGTGTACAAGTATTTAATATGAGGAATATTGTAACTTACATTTGCTTTGTGTATTTATATTTCTGTATTTTTTATATAACATATATATTGCTTTTACATTTAAACTTATAAAAAGTCATTTGTATTTAATGATGTGCTATGACATGAATGAATTGTTTGGGAAATTCACTGCATATGCAACCAAAATGCACCAGGGAAAATATGAATGAATCTTACCAAGAATTTGTTTGATATTTTTGTCAAAAAGTCCCCCATTTTTTCTTGGAAAATTATATTCTTCTTGATGAAGATTAAGTATACAATCAACAGGAAAAGATTACTTTTACTCACATGGTGAGGATGCCTGCTTATGAAAAGGGCAACTGAGATTTAAATCTACTCTCTGCCTATCTGTATTAAAATTAACATCAACCCAATTTTCTGTGTTGTGTTTTTTAATCTTTTTTTCTTATTGTCATTATTTGTGAGATGATTTTTATTATCCTTGTAGTTTGTTTGTGTGTACATGTGTTGCTTTTTCCCCCAGGCCTTGTTTTTGAATCTAGTATGTGTGGTGGAAAGTGCTTACGTATTTACAGAAGATAGTACCCTACCCTCACCTCTGGACTGTTATTTTATTTTTTTAATTAATCTGAAATACTTTCAGTACTGCAAGTAGTGTAACTAGATCTGATAAGTTTCTAAAGATGCAACGCATTAAGTCAAAGTGGAAATGCTGGTGATGGGAGGCATTTATCTTCTCTCCTATTTTTAAGAAGTGATGGAGAACCACACCTGGGGGCCAGGACATCTCACTGCTCACTCTTGTAGTGATGCCTTGTGACTTTTAGCAGACAATTTTTCAGCACACACGCTTATTAAAAGATGTATTCTCTAAAAGTAATCTGGCATGTGACACCTTGGATCAGAAGGGATCTTAAAGCAGTTGTCCGTCACATGTGTGAAGTAGAATTTAAAAGGTGAGAATTTTTGCACATTGTAACGATTGTGCATTTACTAGGAGACTGCAAATTGGAAATTTAATCTGATCACCAGCGTGTAGACTATCCATTAAGATGTCTCTGAAACTAAAGAATATATGTTGAAATACATGCACACGCATATGTAATAATTCAGTAAAATAAATATAAAGTTTCTGTCTAGTCACAGTTTATGTATAATTTCAGCATAGGTCAAAAGCTATCATCAAAAAATGTTTTAAATTAAAAATATTTCAACTTGGAAGTGTTTTAATGTATGTTCTAATATATGAACTAAGAGAAAGATTTGGATTAGCCATTATGTCTAACCCATTTCTAATACCAGTGAACCGTAATAACTCTTGGATGAATTTCTTTTTAAATTTATCAGATAATTCATTGTTGGATGATATTTTGTCTTCTGTTTAAAAAAAAACGAGAGCGTGGTCAGAGTTGATTATTTCAGATGTTGGTTTGTCAGATGCTGTCAAATGAAATGTCTTAAGCCATAAAATGTATGCACAGTGCATTTATGTTTATTAAATAGATATCTTCATTTACTTTTTTAGGTTAAATTTTTTTCGAGATGTTCCTGAGTTCAGAGTACTAGCATGTGGTGGAGATGGGACGGTAGGCTGGATTTTGGATTGCATAGGTAATCAACGTAGTTTACATACTTTTGCAGGATTCTTATATTTTATGTTTATTACTCTTAACTCTTTATCAACATGTGGATGCAACTATTTGGTACAATATGTTGTTCATTTAATTTTTTGAAATATCATAATTTGAGTCATAATTATTTTAAAGCATATTCAAATTGTAGAGGATATGAAGATCCCTAGATGAGTCCAATGTTTATAGCCCTGAAAAAAATTACAGAAGACAAGAAATTTGAATCAAACTGCTTTAATTTTGTAAGTCTATTCCCTATACTGAAACAAATTGGCTACAACATTTCTATTTATACTCCATTATCCCATAATGCAGATAATGAAATAACGGTCCTTTGAATAGAACTGCTATGACAGACATGTAGATGTGTAAACTGTGGGGTATGTAATCATTTCAAGGCTCAGAGGTTAAGATTTTAGAGATTTTAACCTACCTGTGCTTATTAGGGAGCACATCTCTCATACCAAAGGCTTATTTATTTGGCACTAGAGAGCCTGCAGAGAAAATAATGGGAATGTAAGACAATGGAAATGAGAAAGGAGATGGAGTGACCAAAAGACTTGACAGAATGTTTAGGTGACGAGTATTTAAAATCATAGGCTCTTTTATGAGAGGTCTAGACCAGAAAAACGAGGTAAGAAGGATGTCATGAAGAAATGGATGATAGCAAATGCATGTTTCTGAACTTACTTACTTATTTAAAGGAGGGAGGTAAAATGTCCTTTTGTAAATACAAGGTCCTGATTGTAATGCTCAAATAGCTTTGAAAATTGTAAATCAATAGACAACTTTTAATTCTTTGTCCTTATGATAACGATAATGTAAAGATGGTACCTGGACTAGGGAATGAGCTGCACAATAGAATGACTCAATTAAATGCTTGTTGAGTAGACAGCGTGATCCCATATACAGAGTACATACCTCTGTCTTTCAGTGAAACATAATGTAACATGGTTACTGTACTGCAACCAAACAATTAGATTTTTTTCCTTAGGTATTTTTTTTTTTTTTTCTTTATTCACAGAGAAGGCAAACTTGCTTAAGCATCCTCCAGTTGCAATTCTGCCTCTTGGGACTGGCAATGATTTAGCAAGGTGTCTGAGATGGGGAGGAGGTAAACATAAATTAAAATACCTTGTATTATGTTAATTAAAAAAGAAAAAAAAATAACTTTTGCATCAAAGTCTGCTCTTAACATTTGGATGTCTCTTTTATGATGTATGTAAAGAACCACTATGATCTTTCCTCTTTTTGGAATTAGCTGTCGGTAAATGTTATATGAACTGTTTTATAGATATTAAAGGTCATAATCACTCTTCATACCTTGTTTGTAGCTTCTGCTGACACCAAAAAAGCTCCAAGGTGTAATGACAATAGTATATAGCTATTTGTTTGGTGTTTTACCATCTGTATTGCAGTTATTTCTTTAATCAATAAATTATAAAGAAGTGTTAAATGGATGTTAGTTGGGGCTGTTCTGAAAGGGTTACTGAAAATGCTTAATGTTGGGCTTTGAGTGGTTTTATCTTTTTTAATATTTGTAAATTCTAAATGAAAAATATTTCTCAGCCTTAGACTAGCTCTTTTGATCCGCTCTCCTTCTCTTCTCCTACGGACGACTTCAGACAATCATTGTTTTGATGCAATTTATCAGGAAATGAGAAGACAAAGAATGCTGAAAGTATAATATATGTAAAGTAAAAAGTTTAATATCCTTTGCATCCTTTCCTGTATGTGTGGAAACTTATTCACAGCTCCTCCAATAACTTACTTTCATCCAGGATTTGCATTGTATGGTAAAAAAGAGTAACATAAAAACTTGAAGGAGACCTGAAGAAGGAAGTCTTAGGCAAGACTGTCTCTGGAGAAAAGACACTAGTTCACAGACTCAAAGGTAGCTCTGTTTATTTCTCAGTCATTTCAGTACAAATGTATTAGGAACTTGGCTCTTTATTTGGAAATTCCCAGCCCTTGTAAATGTTTCCTTCTTCTTCTGTCTCATCATAAGTTTCCTTTCCAAATGTCTGCCTTGTTACCAGATGCATCTTTAGAAAAATCTGTGTAGAACTCTTGGAACTTTTGTTATCAGTAATGTTCTGTCCAATCATTTTAGAATCTCCTTCACCTCCACTGTCAAGAATGGTTTTTAATTATTATGATTTTTTTTTTTTTTTTAATGTAGGGGAAAATAAATAAAATACAAGTCAGACTTACCTCACTTTCTGTACATAGAATAATTCAGGATAGAAGGGATTGCAGGAGGTTTTCAATCTCCTGCACCAAGCAGAGCTGAATAGACCACATTGCTTGAAACATTATGAACGTTAGACAACACAGACTCTTCAGGCAGCCTGTTCCAGTGTTTGACAGTCTGAACGGTGAAGTTTTTCTGTGTAGCCAGTCTGAATTGCTGTTGTTTCTGTCCACATTCTTTGTCTATCATCCTGTCCCTATGCAATGCTGTGAGGACCATGGTTCTGTCTTCTTAATAACTTTTTTTGTAAGCCTTAGAAACAGGTATTTAGCCCTGAAAAGCTATCTCTTCTCTGGGCTGATGAAGCCTGTCTTCCTCAACTTCTCCTCACAGAGCAAATGCTGTAGTCCCCAGTCATGTTGGTGGTCCTCAGCTGAAATCCCTCCCATTTATGGATGTCTGCCTTGTATTGGGCTGGGCAGTGGTGCTCATAACTGTGTACACTCTAATTGGTGAACAAGAGAGGAATTTCACTTCTCAGGCTGCTGGCTCTGCTCCTGTTCATTTGACTGAGAATACTGTTGGACTACTTTGATGCCAGGCTGTTAGCTCATATGCAACTTGCTGTCTGCCCGCACCCTTGGTGCTTTTTTAGCAGAGCTGTTCCTCTCAGTCCATCCCAAGCCTATATCATTACAGGAGTTATTTCTTCTGTTGTGTGGGATTTGCTGAATTTAGCAATGATCTTCTAGCGTGTCAAAATTCCTTTGGATAGCATCCTGCCCTTGAGCATCAGTTTGTATGTGACAGTTTGTATGTGATATAGTTTGTATCCTCAAACTCAAGGAATGTGCGCTCCAATATATCATCCATATCACTGATAAGAAAAGTGATCCCTCTTATCCAAAAATCCAATCATCTTATTACAAAAGGCAGTCATGTAGTTTTGATATACCTGTGGTAGATCCATATTGGTTGACTTCTCTTTAATGTGCACAGAAGTGTGTTCACAGAGAGCTTGGTTGTGATTTCTTCCAGGCGTCAATGTGACACAGTCTCTCCTGTCATTCTCCAGATTGTTTTTTTGTCCTTTTTGATGAGATTGGGAAGTTATGTTTTTCAAGTCACCAGTGACATCTCCCAGTCATCTAACTTTTTCATAAGTGATAGACAGTGGCCTTCCAAAGGTTTTAGCCAGCTTTCTCAAAATGTTTATATGCAGCCCAGCTGATTTCAAGAACTTGTCTATGTAAAGTATTCAAACAATCCCTGCCTCAAACCTCATACTCTGCAGGTTGTCTTTGTTGTCCCAGGCCTCCAGGATACTAAGAACAATGGCTTTATTGGTTAACTGTAGCTAATTCATCCACAGCCTTCAGCACTGGGCTCCTGTCTGAGTTCAGCAGAAAATGAAAGTTCTGTGTTTTTAAGGCTTTAGCTATTTTTCCTACTCATCATTTGCAAAAACAGCAACAATAACAAAACTTTTTATTCAGTATGCATACTTCCATTTTCTTAAATTCATTTCCTCATGGGGAATGTTTTCCAGACACTTACTCTCAGGCACTTGCCAGAAATTCTGCAGTATCAGTAGCGGGCACATGAAAACTTCCATTGAGTGTGCTTACTGTGAGACTAACTCTGTGCCCTGCCCTCATTCTTTTTCGACTAATTATTGAGTTCCTCAACAATGGTTATATACAACCTACCTGATTCTGAACTGCTGTAGTGAACCATGAGGATGATTTATTGTGCTTCTGAACCCTTCCATTTCCTTTGGGAAAAGGCTGATGATGACACTTTAAGGAAAAAAAAAAGAGAAAGAAAAAGAAAAAAAAGATGAACAGCAATAGATAAGTACTAGTTTTGATTACATTTGATTATCTCAGGCAGGGAATGTCCTTCCTTTCAATTCTACATATTTAGACAGAATCACAGAATTGCAGGGGTTGGAAGGGACCTCAAGGGATCTTCAAGTCCCACTTCCCTGCTGAAGCAGATTCCCTACAATAGGTCACAAAGGTAGGTGTCCAGACTGGTCATGAATATCTCCATAGGAGACTCCACAACCTCTCTGGGCAACCTGTTCCAGTGCTCTGTTTGTATGGAACTTCCTATGTTCAAGTTTTAGGTCATTACTTCTCATCCTGTTGCTGTGCACTATCGAGAAGTGCCTGGCTTCATACATTTGCCTCCTACCTCAGTTTAGATATTTACAAACATGTATCAGATCCCTCCTCAAGTCATCTTTTCCCCAGTCTGAACAGACCTGTGTTTGTCCACCTATCCTCATATGGAAGATAGCCCAGACCCTTAATCTTCTTCGTGGCCCTTCTCTGGACTCCTTCTGGGAGATCTCAGTCTTTTTTGGACATTTAACTTCTATTTTGACTGATTACACCTAGACTAAAAAAAAAAAAAGGAATGAAAATAGTCTGTCTTTCTTCATTCTTTGCCCAATCACCTTTTGCCATAGTACAGATTTTCTGGAACTTCTGTAGTCTGAGAGAAGAGACAGCGCTTGCAGAAACTAAACTACTTTTTCAATAGTGAAGGCAAATGGAATTGTGCACGCTGCTGTTAGGTGATGGTTGGCAGTAGCTAATGAATAAAAACTTGCTGTACAACCATAAGAAAGTATATCAGAAATGGTTTTTTATCAAGAAGGTTTTCAGTGATTCTTCTTTTTTTTTTTTTTCCTTGACATCCTGAATTTTTGTTGATTCAGTAGCTATGTAGAGAACTCCTGATGTTTGACCTGATTTTTCTTCATATAAAAATTACTCCTGAGTACCAAAGATGTGGGTGTTATTTTACAAATTATTTTAATGACCCAGCAAGTACATATTGCACGAATGTGAAAAATTATTTCTGATTAGAAGAAGGAATGAATCCACAGGCCTTACTTATTTATTACAATGATATTTTGTATTAATAGTACAGATGTTAATATAACCCAGGAAAATCCCCTTTTTATATCTGTGTAGACGTGCATACTGTAGTTTGTGTACATTCAAAAATATGTAAGCAAGAATACTGCTTGATTTAGTATACAGTGTTTCGGACTAGTGAATTGCCTAAAGACAGATACACTTGCAAGTAAGAGTACAATTTCCCTATAGGTCTAGATGAGAATGTTAAAGAAATTTCTGAAAGACGAAAAAATGTTAGTTCACCTGATAAAGTGTCAGTTATGAATGGATTTCATGTTTTGCATTTTTTATTTTAAGCCATGTGGAAAAATGGACAAAAATACTAGGCAGCTTTTAATTTTCCTGTCCTCTTTTAAACTTTGATCAGATAATTCTAGGAATCTGAAAATCTTTTTTCTTTTGCCTACATTTTGAAGTCAGATACACTTAAGTATTAAGATTAATTTCAAAGGAAGAATATTTAGGAATATGTAATGTAAGATCTTTGGGTAGTTGCTACAATCATTGGGAAAATTCAAGGGATTGACAAGTTTAAAAGTTCAAATTATTTTCTCCAGTATTGATCTGACACCCGGAGAAATCTATAAAGTTTACATTCATGTAGCTAGGTGCGGAAGTCAGTTCTGTGTTTTAACTCCTTTTAATGACAAGTGCTGGAAAATTATCTGTACTTCACACATAATCCCACTTTTTCAGGTCTTATATACATGGTTTTTGTTTTTCCTGTCATCTAGAAAAAGAATGAAAACTGAATAAAACTTCATTTTCACTTTTTCATAGGTTATGAAGGTGAAAATTTAATGAAGATCTTAAAAGACATTGAGAACAGCTCTGAGATTTTGCTGGACAGGTGGAAATTTGAAGTAATGCCCAATGATAAAGACGAGAAAGGAGACCCAGTGCCTTACAACATCATCAATAATTACTTTTCAATCGGCGTGGTAAGACTCATACATATTCTTAAATGATTTTAATTTTTTTTTCTTTTGCTTTGAAAAAATATTTGCAATTTTGGCTTAGCTTGAAGAGTTGTTGGTTACAGTTCGTTTACAATGTTACTTTCGTAGTGAAATGAATACTTAGATGACTGACAGTGATTCAGCAATTTACATAAGTTTACATAAACGCACACTCAAGACAGATTATTTTTTTTTAAAGATCTACCTTTCCATCTATTAAAAAGTTATTTGTGTTGTTCCTAATACCTTACGAGTGGTTATAGCTCTAAATTTAATTAGCATTATGAAGTTCCTACAGAAATATAAACTCCTCACGTAATAAGAGCTCAAGTGACATTTTCATGTGGATCTTTAGGATTCACATGAGCTATTATATGAACTATATGAGCTATTAGAGGAACTTATATGTATATATGAACTATATATCAGAACTATATATAAAATAATTTTATATAATAATAATAATAGCATTATGATAATAATAGCAAGTATATTCTTGGTTCTGTCATGGAGTATTCACAGTTTGAATGAATTATGAGGAACAGTGGTGTGAGAACTCTTAATGTCAAGGAATTCCAGCTTGTGCTTCTCTGTGATTTCCCATTGGAACTATGATCCACACTATATATATAGGTGGAATCAGAAAATCTAGTCTAACTCCTCATAAGTCTGTTGCTTTGAATATGTTTTCAAACATTTGTGGAAGGGGGGCTTTGATGAGGTCCATATTTTGCAGAGTTTAATTTACTTGATTACTGTGCTTCAGTCTTAACAAGGTTCTGCCACAACTTTAAATGGTTATATGGAAATTTTTGCATGTTACTTGCAGTTCAGTTTTTATGTAGTACTGATCATCAACATGCAGACAGTTTGTTCCTAAAACCATTCCTTGGTCTCTAATCCTGTATAGTTTTAATCGCTGAAAAATAATCATTGTTATTTAAATAGTAATAATTGTTAGGTTTTTTGCTTGTGTAGTTGGTGCTTAGCCTGTCTTGTTTAAAATAAGTGCAGAGAGCAACTAGATAAAACAGAAATAATTTTTAAAAAATAGTGTAAAAAAACCATATGAAAGCAAAGTATATGTGCAAAAACAGAAGCAAACACTCTGTGCTGGGGAACAGAACATTTTTGGTGACTTAGTCATAAGAAAATACTGATGCTCAATGATGAAACTGATGAAAACAGATTATTCAGTTTCCTTGTTGCCTACGGGGAGCTCAGTCTGATAGTCTGATCTTTTTTTTTTTTTTTTTTTTTGTAGCTTATCTCCAGTTTCTTCAACATTTTCTCGCAAAAAATGTTTTCTAGGCATCTGATCATGTCTATTACTTTTAACACTGTTCAGATAAAATGTGAGAATTCAATCCAATTACTCCCTTTGTTCCATATCTCCCTGGAATTGTAATGCTCCCGATGAGGCAAAATGATACATTTCATGTTTTATTGGTACTGAGTGGAAAAGAGGAATTAAGTCGTGTCTTGCAGATGATATTTCCATTAAGAAAAATAGTCTTCTTAACAATAGCATGACTTCATATAGCATATGATATAGCATGACAATAGCATAAATTCATATGTGATTTGTGATTCACTGCTAATTTCCGATACTCTTCTTAACAACTACTACCTTGTATCTCACTTGGGTTTCCATAGTTTCTTCTTTCTTCCTAAATGTAAAACTTATGCTTACTGAATTACATCCTCTTTTAATTTTTTACCGTTTCTCTAAGGCACTACAAAGAATAATGGTAACCTTTAACATACTTCATATTTCCTCATAGATTTCTGCCAAGTAACAGGCACAGCCTCTAATCATTATGAACAGAACCTGCTAAACAGGTTTTGTAACAGAACGGCAGAAATGACTTTTGACAACAATCTCGATGTCTACTCAGAAAAGCCAAGGGACAATAATATTGTGCCTGACTTGGGGCTCTCACTGTTTTCAGACCATAATTCAAGTTGGAAGGAAATTCAGGAAGTCGCTAGTCCAATGTCCTGTTCTAAGCAGGGTCAGCTATAAGAGTGAGTTACATTGTTGACGGTCTTATCCAATAGTGTCTCAAAAAACCTCCAAGGACGAGATGGCACAACCTCTCCCGGCAACCTGTTCCTCTGCCTGACTTTCCCTATGGTGGAGATGTTATTTCTTGTATCTGGTCTGAATCTCTGCTGTTTCACCTTACACACTTCTCCTATCCTCCCTTTATACGTCATTGTGAAGAGCCTGGCATTTATAACCTGTATAACCTATAAGGCCTGTATTTATAACCCCCCCTCCTTGTAGGTATTTACAGATTGCTGTTATTTCCCTGAAGCCTCTTCTAGACTGAAACAGGTCTGTTGTTTATTTATTTATTTATTTATACATTTTACACTGATAAAGATCAAAATTTCCTTACTTGGATAGAAGATTGCTAGGGTAGATGATGTTCAGAACACTGCTAAAGTTGAGCATAACATCTACTGCTCTTGTCATTTTATCAGAAAGAATCAGAATGTAATTTACTCTTGGGAAGGAAAATCCTTTGCTAAGTTGAAAATGAACATTTCACAGAAACGTCTGTATCTGAAAGGTTGGATTAATATGTTCAAGCCAAAAAAAAAAGGTGTGTTTCTACCACACTGTATGAGTTCTGTTACCTACATGAATATATGTACTATATGTTAGTACAGGAAAACAAGAAGCAAAGTGAAATGCAGTAGCTGAATATACAGTGTTCAATGTGATGAAAGCTCAAAGCACACAAGCATCAGCCAAGCTGTGTGTCAGTTTCAAAGCTGAAGCTAGAAAACATCTAAGAGCAAAGTAGAATGAGATAAAGATTTTCAAGTGCTCACATCCATCATTCTGTCAGGATGGCAAGATACCAGAAGAGAAGTCCCATCTGCTTCCCAATAGAACTGGTGTCTTTGAAACAAGCTGAATATCCAAGAAAAAATGAGTATTAAAGCAATCAAGTCATATTTGCTTTAAAAACAAAACAAAAAAAAAACAAAAACAAAAACAAAAAAAAAAAAAAAAAACAAAAAAAAAAAAAAAAAGGAAAGAGAAAAGAAAAAAAGAAAAAAAGAGGAAAATTTGATTTGCTGGCCAAACATAACAGATATAACAGAGATAACATTAGGGGACAAATTAACAGCAATGACAGAAACATGAAACATCAGGACAACTATCAGAAGGAGGATACTGAAGTACAATCACTGACATATTTTGGAGAAAATAATAATCTACACAGTGTGCCTTAATTGTCTTATGTTCATGCTAGATTGATGTTATCGTAGTGATAATGGAGTACTGATCTTATTAATGCCAGTGTTAGTGTGTTATCATAGGCTCTGTATTCCAGACAGTCAGGTTGCAATGCCTTTCTACTGTTGCTGCAGGAGTAGAAATTAAGTCATGTTATATCATGTAGCTAAATTGCTGAGGGTGTCAACAGTTTACTGGAGGTGAGTGTGTGTGTAGACAATATCAGCTTGTGCATATTAATTGTCACAGTTAGCCTTTTCCCCATGGATAAAACAGCATAATTTACTTTCTTCACTCACTCATCTGCTTACCATTAATGGTGAGTCAACAGATATACACAGACAGTTGCTTCGGATAAACTGGTGTGTTGTAATACCGTGGAACATCTGATTTATTTTATCCTTGCTATTTCCCAAGCCTGTTTTTAAAAAAAAAAAAAAAAAAAAAAAAAAAAAGGCAAAAAAACTCACTAATCAATTATATACCATGTTGTCTAAGCACAGAGAAATATTGTCACATAATTTAGAAATAACCCTTCAGTTTAATATTTCAAAAAAAACAAAAAATTGAAAAGCTATTTTTTTCAAATAAAGGATCTTACAAATCTAATCTCAGATTTTTTTTCAAGATCAAACCATATTCATGGAATAGTTATGGAACCACAGCAACTAAAGATTCATAGCATTAATTGCAAAATATACCGTGGATATTTTATATATATTAATATATATGTTAATATACCAGTGGATTGGTATTTTATCCATGAAATTCAAACTAAATGTATCCAGATAAATGCACACAAACCAGGTAATCATGGAGGATGGTGAAATTTGCTTACAATTGAGCAGTAGAACATAGAAAGAACCTTGATGACCAATGGATAGTGAGGCAAGCTCTCACATAACTCCAAAAAAAAACAAAAAAAACAAAAAAAACCAACCTTACAAGCTTTATTTGTTACCTGCAAGAAAGCCTTGCTGCAGCATGGATCACATAATGGCACAATTAAAAATTTTACAGTGTTAAGATCTCAATAACAAAGGTCTTATAAACCTTAGGAAAAAGTAGTTTTTTTAGATAATAAATTAAAATTGAATGACTCTCAAGGGTGTTCGTATCTTATTGGGAAGTTATTCAAGAATGTTAAATATATAAGACAGTTACAATGCTTTCTTTTAGTGTTTCTGAAATGATTTTCTCGAAGTGAGACAAAATGTGTATTTTGATAAAAACTTTTTCACTTATAAATCATTAAATGATTGGTTATGATGAAACATTAGAAACCTTATCTTTCACCAAGTGCTTGGTATAAAAGAGCATGTGGAATGAAAATAAGCTGTCTTATACACTTAGGGATAGGAAGAATAGAAGAAGAAACTTCGGTTACTTATCCTTACAGTGCTTTCTCTCCAAGCTGGATGCGTGAGAAATGATTCAGTGTTTTTCTCTATCTGCACTTTCTCTACTACTTAAGAAGGGTAGAGGAACTGCAAGAGTCCTGGGAAAAAGCCGTAACTACTCAGGATGCAGAATGGTGGTGAAGCTGCATAGACAAAATAACTATGGAGATTTAATGTTTGAATTAGTTGATTAAGAGCTCAGAAAACTCAGAAACAGCATGAGCTAGGCAAAAAAACCCTTTCAGTAATCATTCATAATCAGTTATGAAGTTATGTTCACCAGTAAGGAATAGGAAATTCGCTTATACTCGTTTTGAGATCTTTTT